CCTTCTAATCTCAGCCACTTTTTTTTTTCAATTTCCAAATATAAAGGAAAAAATATGCATATTTTTATCATCATCATTAAAATGATCATCTCTGTTTTATGGTGCCTCTGTATTGGAGGTACCTTACAAAGATTCTGGTTTTCCTAAGGGAAAATGAGGTCAATGCGGTGCTTTTCAAAAAGACAAAGCAATGAATATGTGACAACTGATGCTCCTAAAGGTCACATAAACAAGAGTGAAAAGGAAATCCAATGAAATGGATAGAAACTTGGGAAGTTGGACTATAGCTCTTGCATCAACCTCTCATGACCACATGGGCTTTAAAAATCTTGGCACATTTAGCTTAACCTATCTTTAATTCATTTCAGTCTTGATTAGGGATAAGCACCAGCCAGCCCTCACCACCTTGACAAATATGGAGTACCACGCCAGAATCTGCAGCGTCAGTCTCCACAGACGATGCGCCAGCAGCGGCAAGAACATCTTGTCAGACCAGCACCTCTGAAGGCTGCTCCATGTCCTATGAGGAGCCAAAAGGCGATACGAGCTCCCAGCAAGAGGTAAAAATGCACAGTTAAGGAGTCGCAGCAGAAGGGCTAACAGCTAAAATCTTCAACGGACAAGCCAAGAGTGAAGCCAATGACATTGTGAAGAATCCTATGAGGTCAGCAAAGATTTAGGGAGGTGGGGTGGACAGCCAAGAGGCCTGTAACGCTGTTTTCTAATTGTACGTGACTCCTTCTCCCAGGTATTTGATGCATATTAAACATATATAACAATCAGAAATAATCAGTTAACAGGTACTTTATAATAAAGCAACAAGTATGAATTGGAGTGGCAGTCACTTGCAAGGGTTTAATCTTTGGTTTTGAATTTGTCCTGTCTTCTCTTCTACTCCTGAATATGCTATTTAAATATAGGAAGTCAATTACACATGGCTACTTTTGCAAATACAGCTGAAAATGAACTTTTGAGCTAAAAGAGTGCAGTTTAGATGGAACTTGGCTGCACAAAAGGGAGCACAGTGGAGTGGAGCTTTGTGGCTACAGGAACAGCCACCTAGATGAGCAGTCACCAGGGACCCCTAAAGCATGACTAGATGCAAACACGTCTGGAAAGTGTAGGCTGACGCCAGTCACCCGCCCACTCTCCCAGGACTGGGCCAAGGGCTCTGGAGGCCTGAGGCAGCAGTCAGAACTGAGAGTCATTCTCTGGAGGGAGGGGACATTCTGATCCTTTACCTCAGCTTGAGAGGGAAGTGGAGGGCAGCCACAAGGCTACAAAAAAAGGCTGTCACTTAAGCACAGCAGGGGTTATATCCCCTTGACACAGTATATTCAGAAACGAAAATGTAGTCTCCTTCCCGTGTTCTTAAAGCATCCTTTACATCGTCTCTATACAGCTGGAAGCTCTAGAAACCTTTTTTTTTTTTTTTTTTTAAAGAACTTAAACTATATCTTCAGGGTCTAACTTACTTCCCTGGTGGCTCTGACGGTAAATCATCTGCATGCAACGCAGGAGACCTCGGTTTGATCCCTGGGTCAGGAATGGCTACCACTCCAGTAATCTTGTTTGGAGAATTTCATGGACAGAGGAGGCTGGTAGGCTATAATCCATGGGGTCGCAAAGAGTTGGGCATGACTGAGCAAGTAACACTACTGGAATACAGCAAAAGGTCAAAGTGCTTCCAGGGCACTAAGGCCACCAAGAAGACTTGGTGAATGGAATTAACCCACTTAACGATAGCCTTTGTCACTTTGAAGATGTCACCTGGTGCATCTTACAGGACATCTGTAAGTGCTACTTCTAAGGATCCCACTAGAGAAAAACAAGAGTGTAAACGGCTGTTTTCTCTGCTTCAGGTGCATGTCCCCCCAACCTCCCTCTCCCCTGCTTGCTGACCATTCTCCTGCTTGCTCATAGGGCCAGTGCCTCAGAGCTGCCCCAGCAGCCCTGATGCCTGGCCTCCAGACTTTTTTTCTTACTGAGCAGGAAATAAACTTCTCTGAATTACCTGACCAGGAAGCCATTTCTGGCAAGTCCCACCACCTATAATCAGGTAATCACTTCAGGGCCATAGGACTGGTTTTTCCAGTCCTCTTACCTCCACACTATCAGAAGAAAGCAAATGTCTGTCAAACTAAGAAATGGAGAAGCTATATTCTGTATCTTTGTTTGCAGCTTGAGACATATCACTGAAAGTAGTCAGTTAAACTAGAACAAGTCTCTGCCTGGTGCTCATCAAATGTCTGCTGCCTGTCTCTCATGCTGCTATTGGTAACTGCATGCCTACCCCGAGGCTCAGGATCTGCTTTCTGGATGGGTTTTCTGTTTTCTCTGCTGGGCCATTTGTCATTTCATACCATCTTCTCACAGACTTCTCTTTTAATACCTGATGTGGACACATTTTTATGACTGTGAAATGAAACCGTGTGTGTATTCATTTCCTTAATTAGCTGCCTATGTAGCATCCTCCTTCCCACCTATATAACCCTTCCATGTTCATACTTTCTTTACCATACATTCTTCTGTTCCCTTGCTACCAATAAATTCTGACACATACTTAACAACATCAATTTACCTAATCCATAATCTTGGTTTTTTGGATAGTACTTATATGCTTTTAAAAAGCAGTTCAGAGACTGATCTTCAGGAAACTGGAGAGTAAACGCAGTAGCACTTCATAGAAAGAGCAGCAGCCCTGCCCTCAAAGGCATGAGTGGCTGAGAGCAGAGGACTCTGGCCCACCCTGCCTGCTGGAGCTGGCCGCTCCCCACAGCTTCCCTGTGCCACACGCAGGAAAGAACTCAGCGACTGCCCCGTGAAGCCTGCGAGAGGTGAGTCTCTCCAAGCAGCAGGGAGAGGCCCAGAGGGAACAAGTGGCAGAAGAGAAGTGGAGGAAGAGAAGGGAGCACTGGAGAACCGCAAAGAAGGTGGTGCTCCTGAGCACACTGGGGAGGAGAGGGCAGGGGCTGCCCTGCAGTGAAGAGAGCAGACCAACTCCTGCATTCGCCTCAGACCCTGATTCCCACATTTTGCCCACATCTGTTAACACACGAAACACAGGAAGGAGGATTCAGCACAGAAAAGGCCTGACACCAACACAGCATTGTTCAGAACGCGGAGAACCAGAAGCCACCTTCACAGCCCCAAGGAAGGGAAGGTTTCCGTAACATGCGGCACAGTTCCTACTGAATGCAGCGTGAAGAGAGGTCAGCTGGAAGTTCTGCGGCCATCAGAGGAACAGGTATAATTTAGTGTAAGTAAGGACACAGGATAAAACTGTATGTATGCCACAACAATCTGAAAACCATACAAACGAGAAAGTGCAAGACACAAATGCAGCAGACCCCTAACATTAATGCCTTTTAAACAGATGTGCAGATGACGTGTGACCAGGTGTGAGATTCCCTAAGACTAAAACTGTCTAGGTCATGCGACCCAGCTGTCCCCTCTCCCTACCCTCCAGGAGTCCAAGCACCAGCCCCTCAAGTAGCTTTGCTGGCCAGTAACTTCCAGGATTGAGGTGTTAGGTCGTACTTCTTCTTAGAAAATAAACAAAGTGAGATGTTACTTTGGTGAAATTTGAAAAGTTATGCTATAGTTTTCACAGGTATATGGGATGCCATTCTACTCTTGATAGAGGATTTGTAAGACAGGCAACCCCAAATACAAACACTCCTAAACTCTTCCATTTGAGTATGGGGATGATCTGGAGACACACACCACCTCCCCCACACAAGGCTCCACTGAAGCATGGACACAACTTGAGGAGGGTGGAGGGGAAGGAAGGCGCATCAGTACCACACAGACTCCCCACTGTAAAGCAGCTACACCATGCTAAGCATGTGCTGAATGGAACAGAGGACACACATGTGACCATCCTGGGAGCATACACTATTCTAGCAAGAGTTCAATCAAAAAAGACATATCACTGCCTGTAGTATTTAAGGTGCTAACACCCAGCTTCCAGGCAGCCACTGACTTAGTACCATTTGAGACTGCTGGGGGCCCATGTGTATTTAATCTCTTTCTATGAAAACTAATGCCTAACCCTACTTTCCAAAACTCCTGGAAGAACAAATGAAGTGTTGACACAATAGGGTATATTGACACAATAGGAGACCAAAGACAGAAGGGGTGCCCGTGTGCTCACACAATGGTGGTGGTAGGAGGGGTGCCTTTTTTCCTGAAGATGATGGGGATGTCGGCACAGATGACCCGGGACTATCTGACTGCTATTGAGAGTGCAATATTAGTACCAATATTCCTTCCCAGAAATTTGCTGAAACATCACCACCGTACTGGCCTTTAGGCTTACTTTAAATGACCCTGAAGTGAATCAGACAGCAATACAGCTTTGACACTAGCCATGTTCGCAGAACATTCTGTTATCCCAGAGAATAAATAACCCAACCACTGACAAAAATCAACAGAATGGTGTTCTATAAAGTATTACTTGAATTTTTGGAAGAGCAAATGCACTGAAAACAGGTTCCACACTTCATAACTCAAATGTAACATTTTTAATTTCATCAATTTTAAATAAAACTATTCACAAAGAAAAGTTAAGCAATTCCTTTGAATGCTTATGGCTAAACTCTGGTGAAGATTAAAAATGCCTTTCATGCCCTGGCGCCCCGCCCCCCCGACTTGAAGGGGCCGGGGCTGCGGCTGCCTCAGAGAGGCGCGCAGGGCATGGGGCAGTGCCGAGGAGACGAGCCGAGGCACAGAAGCTGAGGCGAGCTAGATGCCAGAACAGTCCAGGGAGCTGCAGCGTGGCGGGAGCCCGTAGCCAGAGCAGTCCCGGAGCAGAAACGGCCGCCGCCACCACCGCTGTCCACGGAGCCCAGCCGAACTGGCCATGGCATTGTCGATGCTGCTGAACGGGTTGAAGGAGGAGGACAAAGAGCCCATCATCGAGCTTGTCAAGGCTGGCAGTGATGGTGAAAGCATAGGAAACTGCCCCTTTCCCCAGAGGCTCTTCATGATTCTTTGGCTCAAAGGAGTCGTGTCACAACTGTTGACCTGAAAAGGAAGCCTGCAGACCTGCAGAACTTGGCTCCGGGTATCCACCCACCATTTATAACTTTCAACAATGAGGTCAAAACGGATGTAAATAAGACTGAAGAATTTCTTGAAGAAGTCTTATGCCCCCCCCCCCCCCCGAGTACTTAAAGCTTTCACCAAAACACCCAGAATCAAATACTGCTGGAATGGACATCTTTGCCAAATTATCTGCATATATCAAGAATTCAAGGCCAGAGGCTAATGAAGCTTTGGAGCGGGGTCTCTTGAAAACACTGCAGAAAGTAGGTGAATATCTGAATTCTCCCCTCCCTGATGAAACTGATGAGAATAGTATGGAGGACATTAAGTTTTTCACACGTAAATTTCTGGATGGCAATAAAACGACACTAACTGACTGCAACCTGCTGCCCAAGCTGCACATTGTCAAGGTGGTGGTGAAAAAATACCCCAACTTTGATATTCCAAAAGGAATGACTGGCACCTGGAGATACCTAACTAATGCCTACAGTAGGGATGAGTTCACCAACACCTGCTCCAGTGATAAGAAGGTTGAAATAGCATACAGTGATGTCGCCAAAAGACATCAAAATACATTAACAAATAAAAGAGGACTTATGAGAGAAATGTCTTCACATCGTCCCCTGACTAAGGACATACTTTTCCTAACAGACTGCTCCTCATCCTAGAAAGTAGAGTTTATTTGGCATGAACATGCAGTTATTCCAAATTAGGATAAAGGATAGACAAGGTATAGTAGCTGTCTTGAAATATATATACTTCTAAGCAGTATTACTTTAACCTGCCTATATCCCCTAGCCCGTATCATTGTCTCCTCCAATTTGGAGACACTCCATCACAAACTTTCACTTTAAAAGTAGTTTGCCATCTCTCTGGAGCCTTCATAACTGGAGTCCATTCACTGTGTATCGATGACAGAACTTTTGAGGTGCACTGTTCAACTGTTAAAATAGTAACTGTAAAAACATTAAAAAAATAGCAAAAAAAAAAAAAAAAGCCTTTCATGGGACTGGCTGAGTTTCAGCATAGTTTAAGACTCAATTACCAGCTTTGAGAGAACCTATGATGAGAGGAGGATGGGCTGAGGCCAGGCTGTGCTACCCTGCAGGGCCCAGAGCTCCAGAAGGCAGAATGACATGACAGTGCCAAGATTACCAAGTGTGGGGGTCTGGGGTCTGAGGAAATGACTAGCTAAGAGGTGTTTGGAGGCAGTAAACAGGAGTATGGGCTGTAATGGTTATTAGATATCTAAAGCAATCTAAGCCAAAACGTAGACTACAGGAGACACGGAATGTTTAAATATTATTTCTCTACTGCACTCTTACACTATAAAATGATGCTTCACCATTTTAAAATTTTCTCATAAACCAAAAGGGCTTCTTGCCCTGGCTACATCTTGATCATCATGTAACGATTATACCCCATGCAGTCCATGAGTATCTCAGACAAACAAATCTTTAATTTCTTACCTACATGATAACATAACTTTGAAAAATTAAGTATAAAGCTCAGTATTGTATGTAAAACAGCACCATACTAACGGTCTAACAGCTTTGATTTCATCATCAAAAGAGGATTATACACATTCTCAATCATGGCAAGTCAAGGGATTTAATATATTTCCCTCTCTGTAGTTATTCCTCAGAACTCCAGGGAAGGACTGCATCATAATTAATGAAAGCATCCAGCAATTTAAACAAAAAGCTTGCAAGTCTTTAAAAACCATTCTAACTAATAAAATGCTCTAGTTAACACCATTCTATGGAGGAACTCACTGTGATCTCATTCAAGAGAATCTTTTTCTAGGGGAACATACTTTGTTAAGAAGTTACCCTAAATTGCCCCCAAATTGTCTACAGGATCACTTACTGACACTGGTGATATCATTATGCTATCTGGAAGGAAAGTGTCACCATTTTCCAGAATACTCACCAAGATTATAAAGGAAGCCAAAATAATAACTACAATTCTTATACATTGATGGATGGAATCAGCTAAAAGAATATTTCAAGAAAGAACACTTTTCCTGATTCCCTCTGAGGATAAAAATGTTACAGATGAGTAAAACTACAGATGAAGGATAGGTCTGCTATTTGAACCAAGTGATCAAAGAGGAAAATGGAGAGGAAGAGCTGCTAGGGTGACCAGCTCTCTCTGTCTCTTCATGGTGAATGAAAGCATAGTGCCTGGGAATGAAGCTGGGCCTGGTCTAGCTCCCTTGGAATCTAGCGTTCTCAGCTTGCTAATGACAAGAGAGTAAAACTTAATCCTTTTGCCATTCAGGCCAGAACTTTGGCAATCATGATACTCCTTGTGCGTTTCTGCTCTAAATTGTTTCCCAAGGAATAATATTATGATCTCCAAGAAAGGGCTGTGAGATGGAGTTCAGTCCATCTGAACTGGTGTTCAAATTCTATTTCAGAAGGGTGGAGGTGATGGGAATAAATTACTGACCTTATTTGAAAATAAACAGGCAAGTTCCACTTATTATTGAAGCTGTGATAGGCAGGATGTGCTCTTAATCTTTTTACGCTGGCCTGTGATCCACACTGCCATTCAAATGTTCTTACAAAATCCATACTTACGGTATATTTCTAAAATAAGAACAAACAGGTGGAATTTTCATTTTAAGGAAACTAACCAGAATCGGGATCATATACTGAAAAATGGAAGTCAAGATAAAGATCAACACACAGAATCACAGGTTTAAGATCTCATTAGGCCCTTACAGGATCTTCCTCTGAAGATCCCCACACTGAGGAAGGCCCAAAGTGGTTCTATGACTTGCTCAAGGTCTTAGGTGGCAAGCCCATATCAAGAGACCCAGGTATTCTAAGTCCAGTGGTCTTTAAGTGACAGCTCTCACTCATCTTCTAGGGCACCCCTAACTGTCCACTGGAACCACAAGAGTTCACAGATTAAGTGGTATAATTTTCACTGCCTTTCGAGAAGAAGTAGAAAATTTAAAAAAAGGAAAGAAAGGGGGGACAAAAAGGCAAGCAATTACTCAAACCATGTGAGTAATTACATCATTTTTATAGATGGGACAGCATGAAGACTGACAAGGGGATTCTAGCAACACCACTAAGAGTAGCAGGTAACACTTACTGAACATATATCATCTGGACACAGTGCTTACAATTCTATTATTTAATTTAACCCAGAAGACTACACTACTAGGTTAACTGCTTTTATTATCATCTCCCATAGAGATGACACTTGCTCTTCTGCTCAGGCTCAGAGAGAACTGACTCAGAAACAAAGAAAGGAAGTAGAGGAACGAGAAGCCCAGACAGTCAACAGTGCAAAACTGCAGCTGCACATCTTTTGGCAAGGGCTCTCAATCCCCAGGCTCTAGGGCGAACACTGCAGGATTTCCCATGTACTTCTCACTTAAGAGAAGCTCTGTTCTGGGTCACCAAACCAATCGCTTAAATACGATGTCTGTGATTACATGGGAATTGTAGTACAGTAAACACCATATAGTGTTAAATTCCTTTCAACTGGTTTGGAGCTGCTGCTGCTAAGTCGCCTCAGTCCTGTCCGACTCTGTGCGGCCCCACAGATGGCAGGCCAGCAGGCTCCCCCGTCCCTGGGATTCTCCAGGCAAGAACACTGGAGTGGATTGCCATTTCCTTTCCCAGTACATGAAAGTGAAAAGTGAAGGTGAAGTCGCGCAGTTGTGTCCGACTCTTAGCTACATTTACTGAATTCCCTAAGTGTGGTCTAGATGTGAGGAGCTGAGATAAAGAAAAGTATTACTCATCCCTTTTGGGATAAAACCACACCCCTGCCTATAATGGATGTTAAAGCAATGCAAAAATACTTCTCTCTTCTCAAAAGCATGTCTCATTAACACTGAAAACTGAAAGCATTTCTTGCAAGAAATGTAACCACAAACATTAAGTATTGGTTTAGAATTCTAAAGTCAATGATTTCATCAGAAAGCTTTATTCCTGAGCTGAAAAATCTCCTGAGCCTAACATAATCAATATGATTCTCTAAAGAGGGATGTAAAGGGTCTAGCATTAGCATTGCTAATGCTTAAGACCATTACCTCATTCTGCTTATGGTATCTATTTTTAAAAGCCCTACTTTATTTATTTACAAAGATCTATTTTATAAAGTCACAAAACTCAGTGTCACACAACTGGTTGAAAATCATATTACTTAATTATATGGTTCAACATACTGTAACAAGGGTCAAGAGAACAGATAAGTGGTATTTCTGATAATAAAGTTCTAAATTTGTGAACTTCACCTGTTGTGAAGTTATCAGGCCAAGGCTCACCACACTCAACTTGTGCCTCTCTACACTTTAAAAATCAGTAAGCAAAGCGACCAAGCACAATTAGAAAAAGAGGCAAATAGAGCTGCTAGAAATGAAAATAATGATAAATTTGAAACACGTGAAAAGGAATTTAGACACAACTGAAAAAGGAATTCTTGAAGTAGAAGAAAAATCCCAAGAAATTACCCAGAATGTAGCACAAAGAGATGAAAATAAAAAAATAAATTCAGGAAACATGAAAGATAAAGTGAGGATAATTAATTAAGAGTTCTAGAAGCAAATAATAAAGGAATGAGACAGAAGCACAACTGAGTTAATGAATAAAAATGATACAGAAATGATTTAAAAAACCACCAATCCTCAGATTCAGAAAACCCAACAAATCTTAAATTCAGCGAATAAAAAGAAGTCCACACTAGATAGATCAGAGTGAAACAGCACACCAAAGTCACTGGGAAAATTTTAAAAGGAGCCAGGGGAAAAAGCCATTATAACTACCAAGCAACAACAGCAACAACTACTTTCAAGTGACAAAGTTCAAAGTGCAGAGAATAATACTTCCAACAAAACTACCTTTTAAACATAAAAGGTATAAAGTTATTTGCAAACAAATATTAACTGAGGGTTTATCATAAAAAAGTGAAATTTATTATCAACAGAAATTCATAAGAGATGAATTTCAGGAGGAAGGAAAATGATCCAAGAGAAAAGGTATAACATCCAAGAAGGAACAATAAGCAAAGGAAATGATAAACATGTGGAATCATTTTGAGAGGAGGATGATGGCCATGTTAAAGCAATAAAAGTAATGCCCAATTGGGGGGCATAAAAAAATCAAAATAGAAATAAGACCCTGGTAACTAACATATACTATGGAATGGCATGATTGGCATCTAAGATCCTTGTGCTGTATTGGAGGCTGAAGAACACCAGTAACTTTAAATTCTCTTAAGTACCCACTAAGGTTACTTAATACACAAATAAATAGAGGGTAGAACTACCAAATTAGTAGAGGGGTAAAAGAGAATAAATGAGAAAAACAAATTTCCAAAAGTGCACAATACAAAGAAGGTGGGAAATGAAAAAAAAAAAAAAAAAAAGACGAGAGAAAGGAAAAGGAAGAAAAATGGGACAAATAGGAAGAACCAAAAAAACTGCAAATATATCAATCACTATGATCATTGTCAATTTAATAAATTACCTAATTATAAGACAAAGATTGTAATATTGAATAAAAAAATGAAAAAACAGAAATCAAAATCCAGAGCAGGAGGAGGAGGAGAGGCACCAAGAGGCTGAGCAGGAGAGCGGGGTGCAGACTCAGCCATTCGGCCTAGAGCCTTCATTCCTCTCCAGGACACTGCACAGCATCTTTAAAAAATGGAAAATTAATATATGGGTTTACTTTTGATATATCAACCACGAAGTCCTTTAAATAAAAAACATGAATTTTTTTTTAAAGAAATATCAAGGTCTCTTAATCTTTCAAATTATATAGGACATTTTTATACTACATTAATAATTACAATATTAGTTATATAATATATATACTACAATCCAATTACTACTTCTTGTTTTCCTTCAAAGTGATATAGCAGAGTTCTACAAACTTAATTTTTCATCAAAAATAACTGTAAAGAGATTTGCTTTCAATGGTCCTTAAGATATTTTTTAAAATTTAGATAAAAAACAGCCATATCTAGTCATAACTGCTTCTTGACTGAATTCTACCTTACATTCTAAAAAACATTCTTAGTCCCCAAAGTATCAGAGACTATGATCTGAATAAAATAATGCATGTATTTTTAAGGTAAATGCCGGCTCCGCAACTCAGACTGTGATTTTAAAAAAACCACAGAACTGTGCAAAAGACTGCAAAAAAGACATGATTATCTCAGGTTAACACCTTCAAGAATCAAGACAACAGAGGGAAAGGTACCTGGTGAAATGTATCAGGATCCCCAGGATTAAAAAGCGTGGGTAACTTTTCTTCTAATCCTGGTACTATTTCTGGCCAGACAGAATTCACCAAAAAATCACAGCCGGGAACAGTATTGACCTTTTCACTGTAAGGTAAGAGTAAAATTTCAGTCAAATACACCAGAAACATCTACTTACAAAAAGAAAAATTCCACTGTGGTGTTTTAGTAAAATAAAAGTTCCTTGGCCTAAAATTTACTTCAACCTTTTAAAAATAACTGTATTTGTCAATTATGTTGTTCTTAGTTCCAAACTTCTATTTCACTCCTTGATCTCCTTCTCACCTAGAACCTGACACATCCTCTGTGTCCTGACTCCTACAATTATAGCAAACATAGTAGACAGCTGAGGTCAAGGATAATGGAAAACTAGGCCGACTTGCCGTGGCACAGTTTTCTCCCCTTAAATGGGCTAGCATGTTTATACACTATCTTGAAAAAGCAGCCATCTAATACCACAAGAAAAGCAATCTTTGTATTCAACCTAAACACCACTCAGCTCTAAAACACTGTAAATCACACTAATTTATCAATTACTAACAGCTTTGTGACTCAGCTATCTCTGATTACCTTCAGGTCTACGTTCTATGATTATTTAATGTAAAATCTGTATTACAACTCTTAATGCAAAAAAACTGATAACATTCATGGTTCCCATATGCACATGCTCTATTTTGCATTGTCAGCAAAAAGGCCAAATTCTGAGTTTCTAATTCACACACTTAGGTGAGAGAGAACACTGAGAGAAAATCATGCTCTTAGGAGCCACAGCACCTGAGTTCAAATCTCGGGTAATTTAACTGTGTTTTGGTTTCCTCATCTTTAAAATCATAAGGTCATTATATGGAATAAGGTTTGTAAAGTATTTAGCACTTACTGGCATGTAGTAAGTGCTATGTTAATAGTGTTAAATACACAGTACATAAATAAAAAAGGCGGGTTCCTTAAGTTTCTCTCTACTTAAAAATCTGTAAATATCTTTAGGCAACACCATCTCACTGACCTACCCACTTTGCTGCATTGTTAACATGCTCTATATTAAGGTAATTTTCTTTATATTCGATGAGGGAAAGGAGATGCCTATGTCCCACATACCCAGTTCCACATATCATATCATATACTTTTAATCCCAATAAGAACTAGCTCTAATAAGGTATAGGAAGAGAGAACAAAATTGAAGATTGTAGAATACAAATGCACATAATGTGAGCAACAATGAATGACAAGATCACCTCATTTCCAAACTAAATATACAATTAAAGCCTCAAAAGGAAAATTTAACTCTGCAAGATCAACAGTTAGAAAAGCTAATTTACGTCCTCTGGAAAACAACTGCTGAACATCACTGCTATTGCTGGGTATACAGAGCACACAAAGGCAGATGCTGAGCAAGGGAGGGTCCAGGGCAACAAGATGATGCGGCGTGAAGCAGAGGCAGGTGACCTACCAAGGTACAGTCTAGATACTCAAATTTCTGAGCTTTTTACATGAGTTCTGCCACCCTGAAAACTGTGGAAAAGAACAAACATGTGAGGCATGAAACTTGACATTTCAGGACCAAGACTAGACTTGTCAACTCTAAGGATCGGTTGTTTCGTTACTGTGGCCTCTTTAATTTCACATGATGACTTCTATTAAATTCTTACCCCAAATCCAAATCCAACGAAATCTTGACTATTATTACACAAAAGTGGCAAAACAAATTCATCTGAAATCATCTAGTGGAAACAGAGAGGGTACTTCTCAGTCAATCAGCACATTTATTCCCCAGGTTTCTCTTTTCAAAAAAAAAAAAAAATTTCAAGGCTAAAAATAATTTTCACTCCATGAAGGGACTTGATTTGCCTTTCTAATGCTGCAAATTGACTGAGTCTTTCATTTCACAAACACTGGATAATTGCTGTCTTAAGACACTGTGACAAGGGTGGGGAGTATGGGTTGTGCAGGATGGGAGAAAGTTGTTAAGATGGAAACTAGTCCTCAACAGAAGTGAAAGCAACATGCAATCGCCTGCAGAGAACAGGATGAAAGCTAGACTTCAGGATGAAAGGTGAGACGTCTCTTGAAGGAAGTAGCATCTGAGTTGGGGCTTCACATGGGATGACAGATCAACAAAAAGAAAGGGAAAGGCAGAGGACTCTGAGGAAAAACACAGTCCCACCAAATGTGTGCTGGGGACCAGCCGAGCAAGGGAAGCCCACAGAGTGCCACACACAAGGACCACTGAGGCCGGAGTGCGCAGGGCCTCGTACGCCACATCAAGACGCCTAGACTTTCCTCCACACGCAACAAGAAGCCACTAAAGACTTAGGAAGAAGGCAGTGCCTAAATATCAGAATTGTGGGTCAGTGTGACAGCCGAAGGGCAGAGGGGAAGGGCGAGAAGGGAGAGGGTGGAGGCAGAGAGAGGAGGTGGGCAGATCCTGTTATTCTGGATAAAACTATGACAAAGGCCCGGATCAGGCCAGTGGTGATGGTGAAAGCCAGCCGGGTATTTATGAAACAAAGCGAAAAGTATGGAAATCAGGCAAGAGGAGGGAAAACTGAAGATGACTTTAACCACAATTAACATAAAACTTGTTGAATTACACGGAATTCATATTTATAAACAGATTACAACATTAGAATAATGGAAGGAAACCAACTTTCATTTCACATGTAATTGAGGAAAAAGTACACAAAAGGGGAAAATATGGGTTTTGAATTCACAAAGATGAACCCTTTACCTCTGCCCTATTCATTACAGTTTCCTTCTGAGGCAATGACCCATACCCACCTCATAGCACCAGGGGAGCGCATATGAACCCGACCCAAACGAGGCAGCAATAATCAGCAAGCGCAAGTTCCGAGTACAGCTGCTTAAACTCCCTTGAGATGGCTCCTCCTGTGACCTCTCGAAGAAGGCGGCAGTGATGGGGAACGAACTCCAAGAGTTTATCATACATGAGCTGGAGATCACTCAGATGACTATTGACAATCTGCTCTAGAATCACGTATTAAATGAATAGCATTTTTAAAAAAAGCATCTCAAAGAGAGGTATGAGTTACACACTACAGGAAAAATAGAGAAAACCTTAAAAGTATGCTTCCTTATGCCCCCTCCTCCCCAGCTAACATGTTTTCTAACAGTAACAGCTATACTCAGAACTAGTTTCAGGATTTGGAAGAACAGCTCTGACCCAGGGGAGACACAGGCTGGGTGACAGAGACTGGCCTGAAGCTGGAAAGCCAAGCACATTTGCCTCCTCCCCTCCCAAGACTGAAAACAAAATAAAATGACAATTTCCCATAACAACAGCCCCTCCCTGTACTGACCTCGGCCTTTTCTTCTACCATAATTTAGATCAGGGGAAGGCATGAGACAGAGAAATATGGAAATATATATTTTATTTTACTTTATTATTTTATCTTTTGTGTTAAGGTTGAGAGTCACGAGGGTAATGACAAGATAAGCATACGAATTAAAAAAAAATTAGACTGTGGCCTTGGTTTATTTAATATGCCACTGAAACATCAAATGATTCTTTCATTTAGCACATTAGGTTCAGTTCAATGAAAAACAAAGGCATAAGTTAGTAACGATTTTCACTTACTGAGCCAGAAATAATGTAGGTAATTTGTCTTTTTCATTCTTATCAAGTTAGATATGAAATATAACAGGATAGGAAGAGAGGAAACTGACAGATCATTTATTTTTAGTAACTCTAATAAAAGCTGAAAGGATTACTGGAGTTAATCTTACATTTCATTGTTATCAATGGGATTCCATGTCCCCCATTTATAAACGGGAGGCTTTCATCCCAAAGCCACGGTGAACAGGGCTTTGTGCTTACTGGACAGGACGAGCACCCACACGGACAGAGGACTGGAGAGGGTCTGCAAACACTGAGGACGGGCTTGTGACTTAGTGTGAACCAGATGAAGCTGCCGCTTTTGTGTGTCAGAAGACGTTGAGCATTGGCAACCTCATACGGTTCAGTCTACATCCTGGCTGCTCAAAGGCAGAATATGCTTACTTTCCAAAGTGTAACTGCATCCTTGGAAATGAAGGACACTGGATAGTCAAGTTCTGGACTTAGGTATTATGCTGCTAATTTGCCTATGAAAGTCCTGCATCAGTGAATATTTCCTCCCTCCCACCTTCCTGGCTAAGAGACTCCTCAGTATTCAAGACTTAGGCCACATCTCTGTGAAGACAAGTTTCAGCACAGACTTTCCATGGTCAGGGTTTCAGCAGGCTCCCTCACCAGGAACTTACACTGCAGTTTTGGTATCTGCTTACTTGTTCCATTTTACCCACTAGACCGATAGTTAAAAATTCATTTTAAGAATTTAGTGGCAAATAATTTACATACCATAAAACTGACCTAAAAATGTTTTGATACATTCCTTCTCCCTAGGCAAGACTCTCCTCCCACTAAATTAACATGATCCCTGGGCTACAGCATCACTAAAAAACACTGAGAAGGTGCCTGACTCCTGCATGCTGGTTGTCACCACCAGGGACCAACCTTTTCTTCCAACTGATGGTACTACAGTAACTGAGAATCTTTACACAAAGGCCTCTAAAGTACCCCTTACACCCAGTAAACATCCAACACAGAGCAGATGCTCTATGAACATCTGCTGAGTGAAGGCCTTATTCAACAATGTACAAACCTCATCTACGTACAGTTTCACGAGGACTTGACCAACTAATGCCTCTGCATCTTGTCAATTGTGGCATAAATCCGTAAGCAGTGCCAAATAATATCGACACTGGAAGTCTGAAACCTTCTAATAGCAGGCCTTCCAGTGACTGTTGTAACATGGCTGAAATACCAGCTATATGTTGCAAGAAAGACAGGTTAAAAAGCTCCAGTTGTAATCATTTCTAAAGATCCAAACACACACATAACAAATTTCTTATTCCAAAAGAAGATAAGTAAAATTAAATATTAACATTTTCTGGAGAGGAACAATGCATTTCTCCTTCTCCTCACATCTCTTTGTAAGTTAATCTTTGCTGTATCAAAGGAGGATTTAGATATCACTTCAGAATGAGGTTCTTTTAAGCTACAGAGTAAATCTAACAAACATCATGATTCTAAAGTCCAGTCAAGAGTTTTGGATAAATTAATTCTGACTAAATCATATAGTGTGTCAAGTTACATGAAATTTAGAGTTAATTTTACCCTTATAATTCAGAGAATATGCCTGTGTCTTTACACAAAATCTATAATGTGCGACATTTAGGAGGCAAGGGCCTAAAAAACAAAAAATGAAAGAGAAAATTCAAAGCTAGCTTCAAAATCCTGCAGATCAACAACTGTCAGAACAATACAGGCATACCTTGGCGATACTGCAGGTGTGGTTCCAGGCCACCACAATAAATTGACTACTAGCACAATAAAGCCAGTTATGGGGGTTTCTTGGATTATCAGCAGATATAAAGGGTATGTTTATACTGTACTACATACAGTATATTGAGTTTGCAAAAGCATTATGTGTAAAAAAAAATAAGATACAGACCTTAATTAGTTTAATTAAAAAATGCTTTATTGTTAAAAAATGCAACCATCATGTGAACTTTCAGTAAGCTATCATCATTTTGCTGGTGGACGTTTGAAATACTGTGAAAACTACCAGAATGAGATACAGAGATAACAGCACTTGAAGTGAGCAAGTGCTGTTAAAAGGGTACTAGCATGGTGATCGGAGTAGGCAATGGCACCCCACTCCAGTACTCTTGCCTGGAGAATCCCATGGATGGAGGAGCCTGGTCGGCTACAGTCCATGGGGTCGCTAAGAGTCGGACATGACTGAGCGACTTTACTTTCACTTTTCCCTTTCATGCACTGGAGAAGGAAATGGCAACTCATTCCAGTGTTCTTGCCTGGAGAGTCCCAGGGACAGAGAAGCGTGTTGGGCTGCTGTCTATGGGGTCACACAGAGTCGGACACAACTGATGTGACTTAGCAGCAGCAGCAGCACGGTGATAGACCTGCTTGATGCAGAGCTGCAATAAACCTTCAATTAAAAAAAAATGTGAAATATCTGTGAAACACAATAAATCTAAGGGCAATAAAACAAGGTCTGCTTGTACCAGGTAAAATCAAAATTATTTAGCAAATTCCTAAATATTAAAGTGTGAAAAATCTTAAACAACAGTTACTCGTCTTATTTTGTCCAAAAGAGGCAAGCCTTTGCTTTGAACAGCATGAAACTGTAACTGATTAAATTCTGTGGTGATTCTCTCCAACATCTGTCCAGTCAAAAGTGGGCTAGTGGAGACAATTAAAAAGAGTTAATTCCTAAAAGTTTTTAATTTCCAAGAATATATAACATGATCAGCAATCCTGATGCTTTCATTGTGCTTTTCCATAGCTCCCTTGTTATAAGGTAGAAGCTATAGCATCCTTTGTGCCATGAGCTATTACAGCATGTTCTAAGACAGTGGAAAGCTAGAAAAGTTAAGCATAAGCCCCTGACACTGCCAGGCCCCGACCACAGGGTCCAGCCGAGAAGCAAGAGCTGGCCCAGGCCAGTGTGGGTGTTTACATCTCCTCCCCCAGCCTCTCTCATTCAGGGCCTTCTTCATTGTTAACTTCCCTTCCCTCTCTCTAGCTCTACCCGGTTATTTACATTGCCCTGGTTTTCCCTCCTCTACAACTCAAAGTTGCTGATCTGAATTTTTAAAAAGTCCTTGAAGGTGATTCTGAGCAAGAAACAGCATAATATCTGTTACATTGAAGATGGAATATCACAAAGAAACAGTATTATAGAAAAAGACGTTGTGATGCATCTCTATCAAAGGAAGAGTAGGGATGGACAAAAATGGAAAGAAAATAGGAAGGCAGGTATGGTGGATGTCGAGTGAGGATAAGCTGGCAGGAGATGCCAAGGCAGCTGAGGGCAAGAGACTTGGAACAGTTTGAGACAAACAGCTCTCCTGGATGGGTCAGAAGGGATGACCCATCAAATGGGGTCACAAACAGTCGAACATGACTAAGTAACTCAACTGAACTGAGGGCCTACTACATGCCAGGTATGGGCTGATGGCACCTCAGTGTCAGACAGTCCTGCCAGAAGAGTTCCCGTTAGCCTTCCATTGTCAGTGACACCAGAAGTTGAGTTCCATGGCTCTGGCTGCACAGTGGAATATACAGCACAGATCTGTCCACGGCACCATGGTGCTTCCCATGGTGCTGGTATGAGCTACTCATTTTCTGAGTCACTCACCTACCTGGCTGATTTAAAGTTCAGACTAGAAAGATGAGAAGACAGTTGCAGTATGTAACAAAGAAAATGGTCATCTTTTTCTAATTTCACAAGTTTTTTTTTTTTTCTTGTTGACAAATGTTAACTAAATGTGCCTATCCTGTTTCTTAATGATGTAATGCTAGGATAAGATACATAATTGGCAATACTCTGGCCATTACTCTGGTCTAAATGAATTTAGGAAAGATGAAAGCTATTTCATATCTTAGAAGATCAACAAAATTTTGCCAGTGCTTCTATAAGGCAATTTCAAAGATTAAAATTCTTCCAATAAAAGCACACTCCTCTGATTCCCTGTGAAGTGATGTATTGGAACTGTGGCCTCTAACCATAAAGGCTTTATAAGGATGTATTATAAACTTTACCATCTCACACCCTCCACTTTCCACAAGCTACACTCAAAAAAACTGAACCACAGACTTGGCTTTTCTTCTTTTTCAGAAATGAATTTTACCTTTAAAAAAAATTAGGCTAGATGTGAAGTATTAATTTATGTAATATTTAGTAAAGAAAATACTTACCTGCTTGCTTCTAGTGCAGATGTTTCTTTAGAATGTTGAGAATTTAAGATTTTTTCAATTTTATCAACTGATCAAATAACCTGTATAAGTCGCAACACACATATCTATAAAATAATAATTAAGCAAAAAACAAAGTTATCACGATATTTCATCTTAATCACCTCATTTCCCCATTCTAAATACAGGGAAATACAAAGCAAAAAGTCAACTTAGAGTATGTAGGGCATTCTATATTTTGAATACTTCTACATAAAACTGAATTCCCAAGAATGCAAATCTTAATTTCAGGTGTTAAGACTTTGGTTTTTGTTTTTTTTTTCTTTTTTTGTTTTCTCATTTCCCACACTTTTATTCCTTTCTTTTCCTATCTTAAATGAACCTCTCTATAGGTATTACATTTATTTTCTTATGACCCTTCTTCATGTTATAACTGTAGCTTCTGATCATCTTTATCCTATTTACATGTATATGACACAATTATATGCTTAACCATATTTCCACAGGGAATTCTCTACTTAAACATAACAAAAATGTTTAATTTTTAAAACAGATTGTGACAGGGGAGAGAAAAGTGGAT